GTTTCTGACCACAGTAACGCTTCCTCAGGAGAAGGTTTGATGAAAGTCTGCTGTTTGCTTTTCTTGCTGGCTTTGGGTTTCCCAGGAGTGGATGAATTTTGCAAGAAGTAGCTCAAACGGGTCTTCCAATCTTTCAAAAGGGTCCGCTTCATCTTCTCACGCTTCTCCTCGCTCTTGGGGCCGCCGCCTGCACTCTTGTCCATGGGTACGCAGTCGTGCTGGACGGCCAAGAACATGGCACTCTGCATTCTAGTTACCCCCGCGGGCGCTGCAGCTGTTTGCCTGTGTTTTTTTTTTTAATTGTAAAAATACTGTACAGAGTGGTTACAGTTACGTGAGTAAGGTAATGAGTATGTTTCCTATTGAGTATTGTTACCTCCTCCTTTGTTTTTCCCGTACCATCCCTTCCCTCCCCACCTCCCCAACTCCTCCCTCCCCCCCAACTGTAAAGTTCGTTTTCAACAAGTGTCTTGTACATCTCATTGTTACAATGGGTCAACATGTATCCTTATTTCAGCATTTTGTTATTTCCCTTCCCCTCCCTAAATTAGAAAAATGCATATACAAGATGCAGGGCACCGGAATCAAATACAGTGAAAACAGGGGTTATACTGTGGGGGAAGAACATACAAAAGAAAGAAAAAAATCACATAGTACATTATACATACATTAAAAACAATAGCAAGAAAGCAAAAAAAAAAAAACTCTTGTGTCCCTATCTTGGGGTTCATTTTGCTTAACATCATCTTTTTTTCATCTTAAGAGATTTTATTTATTTTATTTTATTTACTTATTTTTTATTGTGATTAAGTGATTACATAATTTCCCAAATTTCACAGTATTGTGGGATAGTGATGCTCAGTTAAAGTCACAAACACATTCTAACTTTCCTGGAGCAAATTGTCTATCACAGTCTATAACATTTATGAGTTCTGTGAGCTTTGCGATACAGTTATTTCTTCCACATTGGGTGGTAAGTACATTTCTTTTGTTTCGCATAGCATCAGCTGTTACCTCTTTCCCATTTCTTAACATCATCTTATATGGTCATATGTATTTAGCTTTTGACCTTTTCTGCTTGTCCTAGACTTATACTAGTTATTGCAGATAAGGGAAACCATGGGACCTATGTTTCTTTGGGCTTGGCTTACTTACTTAATAAAATTTGTTCCAAGTCTTTCCATGTCCTAACAAGGGACAATGTCATTCTTTCTGATGGAGGCATAGAATTCAATTATATATATATATATATATATATATATATATATGTGTGTATATGTATATCATATTTTCTTGCATTTTCTTGATCCATTCATCTACTGAGGGGCATCTGGGTTGGTTCCATATCTTAGCTATGGTGAATAATGCTGCGATAAACATAGTTGTGCTGGTAGCTTTAGTATACCCCTGTTTATGATTGTTTGGGTAAATGCCCCAAAGTGGGATTGCTGGGTCATGTGGAGTCTTTTGAAGAACCTCCATAATGCTTTCCAAAGTGGTTGAATAAGTTTACACTCCCACCAACAATGCACTAGGGTTCTCTTCTGTCTATATCTCCTCCGGCATCTATTGTTATTAGAGTTCTTGATTATAGCCATTCTAACTGGGGTGAGAGGGTATCTCAGTGTTGTTTTGATTTGCTTTTCCTTTATGGCCAGAGAAGTTGAGCATTTCTTCATTGTCTATTGGCCATTCTTATTTCTTCTTCAGAGAAGTTTCTTTTTAAGTCTTTAGCCCACTTATTAATTGGGCAGTTGGTTCTTTGAGGATTTGTTGTTGGGGGATTTAATTTTTTGAGTTCCAGGTATATTTTAGATATGAGACCCTTGTCAGCTGTATGGCTAGTGAAGATCTCCTTCCAATCCATGGGATTTCTGTTGATCTTGCTTGATATGTCCTTGGCTATGCAGAAGCTCTGCAGTTTCATGCTATCCCATTTGTCCAACCTTTCTTTGATTTGTTGTGTTTCTGGGTCTCTATTAAGAAAATTTCAGCCTGTGCCAAGGAGCCCTAGAGTTTCTCCTATTCCATCCTATAATGTTTTCAGAGTGTCTGCTTTGAGTTCAAGGTCTTTGATCCATTTGGAGTCGATTCTGGTGCAGGATGATACATAAGGATCTAGCTTTAGTTTTCTACAGGTGTTAAACCAATTTTGCCAGCACTGGTTACTGAAGAGGCTGTCTTTTTACCATTCTATTTTTTTAGCTCCCTTATCGAAGATTAGGTGGCTATAGGTCTGTGGGTTCATTTCTGCGTCTTCAGTTCTAGTCCATTGGTCCTCAGGTCTGTTCTTGTGCCAGTACCAAGCTGTTTTGATTACTATGGCTTTGTGGTAGAGTTTGAAATTTGGTGTTGATATTCCTCCAGCACTGTTCTTTCTTCTAAGGCTTGCTTTTGCTACTCGGGGTCTTTTATTGTTCCATATGAATTTTGGGATTGCTTCTTCTATTTCATTGAAGAATGAGGTTGGAATACTGATAGGTATTGCATTGGATTTCTAGATTGACTTGTTTTTGAGATAAGAGTCTCACTAACTTTTTGCCCAGGCTGATTTGAACCTCAATCTTCCTATTTCAACCTCTTGAGTATCAGGGATTACAGTTGTGCACTCCCATGACTGGCCACACAAATTTATTTTTTAATGTTATTCTTCCTTTTAAAAATTGATCATATAACAAAAATCACCCCTTTAACCATTTAAAAATATATATCTCAGTGGGTTTTAGTCATTCACAAGGTTGTGCAACTAGTACAACTCTCCATTTTCATTCATTGTGCAACTAGTACAACTACCCTTTTCATTCTCCCCAAAGGAATCTCTGTACCTGCTAAGCAGTTGCTCCTAATTCTTCCTTCCCCATGCTCCTGGCAACAACTAGTCTGTCATTTGTCTGCATGGATTTTGGCTATTTCCTATCAATAGAATTATGTGCAGCCTTTTGGATCAGGCTTATTTTGCTGAGAATATTTCCAATGTTCATGTTATAGCATGAATTAGTACCTCTTTCTTTTTTGTGGTTGAATAATATTTACTGGTATAGATAAAGCCCATTTTGTTTATCCATTCATCAGTTGATGGACATTTAGGCTGTTTCTACCTTCTGTCTGTTATAGATATACTATGAGTAATACAAGTTTTTCTTTAAACTCTTGTTTTTAATTCTCTAACATGGAGGGGTGAGTTTTTTGAAACTGTTCAGTGTGTGAGTTTTACTAAGAAGAAAATAACAAGCATTCAAAGTGCTACCCAGATGAGGCCTAAGATCACCCTGCTCAGGCTGTGAAGTTCCAAGGACTAAAAATCTCTGGAAGGAGAAGAGGGCAGGAAAAGGAGGAGATGGTGCCAGAAAGGACTAGTAACAACCTTCATCTTGGTAGATGAAAGAGAAATGGAAGCCAGATGCCTCTAATTCTAGTACTTTTCTCTACTGAGATCTGAGGATCACAGGTCAAAGCTAGCCTGGGAAAAAAAGTCCATGAGTCTCTTATCTCCAATTAACCACCAAAAAGCTGGAAGTAGAGCTGTGGTTCAATTAGTAGAACACTAGACTAGCTTTGAGAGAAAAAGTTCAGGGACAGCGCTTAGGCCCTGAGTTCAAGCCTTAGGACTGGCACACAAAAAAAAAAAGAAAGAAAAGAAAAGGAAAGAAAAGAAAAGAAAAGAAAAATGGATGGAGTTTTCCCAGAATTTATAAATGATTGTTGATATTTTTCTGGTTTTTACAAGGAAGGGGAAAAATCTGGTGAAAGTGAGAAGATAGGCTAGAGGAAGACCAAAGTAAAGTGAAAATGGTTACGGTTTAAGCTGTGTTGTCAGAATGTTGTTAATGGATATTGTTCAGGCAGAAAGAAGCTAAACTTGTTTCACCGCATGTCAAATGCAACATGGCAAAAGAAAGATCTAGTATAATAAATAAAGGGGCTTTACTTATAAGAATGCTGCTAAGTGTTTCTATAGTTATGGATTGTCACTAAAATATTTTCATATTTATAGACTCATTAGGATAAGTGAGGGAGACAGAGTAGGGACCTTTTGCTGCCATTTGAGAAACAAGAAAATCCAAGCTCAGCTTGGTACCTGGTGAAAGTAGGTATTCAGTTAGAATGAGTTAAATAAATGAAGCAGACACATCGCAAGTCAAAGAGCATAAAAACTGGGAGGGTCTTTATGAGAGTGGGTGCAGCACCCTCAACTGGGGCAGGGTGCTGTATTATTAAAGTCTGCTGCAGTGATTGAGGTCTAGTTCTTCTTCTTTTTTTCTTTTTGTTGGTTGTGAGGCTTGAACTCAGGGCCTGACACTGTCCCTGAGCTTTTGTGCTCAAGGCTAGCATTCTATCACGTTGAGCCTCAGCTCCATTTCCAGTTTTCTGATGGTTAATTGGAAATAAGAACCTCACAGGCTTTCTTGCCCAGGCTGGCTTTGAACCATGATCCCCAAATCTCAGCCTCCTGAGTAGCTAGGATTATAGGCATGAGCCACCTGTGCCGGGCAGGTTCTTTTTTATAGTGGGAGACAGAAAAGAAGCTGATTTCTATATGATGAAAAAGGATGCATATGGAACTTCTACAGCAGGATGCTCAGCTGGCCTAGGGTTGGGTGAAGTCTGCCAGGTGAGCTAAACCTTGTCAGGGAGTGACTTGTAAGGGCCATCCTATCAGGTCTTCAGACAAGATGTGGGGTTTGAATATTCCTTAAATAATCACCAAGGGTCACATCAAAAAGAATGGTGGATGAAAATGTGATGGAGCTCATTATAAGTAAATCTTGATTAGGTCTTGTCACAGCCACTCTGTTTTATGACAGTCATATTTCGGATATTTTGGACTACAACTTCATTTTGTTAGATTGAGATGATGGTGGATCCATTATCATTCTCCCTCCCCTTCTTCCCTTCTTCCCTTCCTCCTTCCCTGCCTTCTTCTTTCCCTTCCTCCCTCCTTCCTTCCTTTCTCTTTTCTCCTCTCCCTAACCCCCTCTGCCCAAAGCCTAAACACTCACCTGTACCAGGTCCGGTGTGAGGCGTTTGGCCTGCAGCCATTTCTGGAATCTTCCTGTTTTCCGCAGGATGCGCTCAATGCTGCAGGTCTTTGGGGCCGATGCAAAGGCACAGATTCTCCTGTCTGAGATCTCATTTTGCTCTTTGCTCACTAGCCTGAAGATCTCCACAGGCCGCCAGGTTTTGGAATCATCTGAGTAATTTGCAGAGTAAGAAGGCAGGTAGTCAGAGGCCAGTTCAAGGTCAGAAGCCAGCGAGTTGTCAAACCTGTTGGAGGAATAGCCATTTTATAATTGATTTGTGAGCTGCAGGTCAGCTGAGCCGAGATGGGACAGCAGCCTGTCTGATCTACTTTTTTTTTTTCAGACTGAAGTGTTTGAAACATTTTAATGGGAAGGCCATTTTTCTTTTTTGCTGGTCCTGGGACTTAAATTCAGGGTCTGGGCATTGGCCCTGAGCTTTTTTTGCTCAAGGCTAACACTCTACAACTTAAGCCACAACTCCATTTCTAGCTATTTTAGTGATTAATAGGAGGTAGAGTCTTGAGAACTTTCCTACCTAAGGCTGGCTTTAAGCCACGATCCTCAGATCTCAGCTTTCTGAGTGGCTAGGATTACAGGTGTGAACCACTGGTGCCTGGCCTGGAAAGGTCATTTTTCTTTCCCCAGATTTAGGTACATTTATATGTGATATCAGAAAAGGTATGGGTCAGAGAGAAACTACTCTCTTCACTCAACATGTAGAGAAGGACTAGTTATGGCCTTCTGAGTTGTTCTCCCTCTCTTTTTTTTGTCTACAGGTACTGGGGTTTGAAGTCTAGCGTGGTTTTAGCTTTTTTGCTCAAGGCAGGCACTCTACCACTTTGGGCCACAGTTCAACTTCTGGCGTTTTATTTTAGGCAGTTAATTGGAGATATGAGTATTATGTACTATCTTGTTCTAGCTGGCTTCAAATCATGGCCTTCAGATCTCAGCTTCCTAAGCAGCCAGGATTACAGGCATAGGCCACTTTGCCCGTATGTACCTTGTGCTACAGGTAAATATTTTAAGTGCCCCAAACTATCATCATCTAACTACTGCTTAGGTCTTAGAACCATAGTTTTCCAAAAGACATTTGAAAGCCAACCCCCTAAGAAGCCCTATCACTTTGGTTTTCTTTGGTTAAAGATTTAAGTCATCAGAACCTGAAGTCTCAGGCAATCATAGCTGCTAAATGGTCACCAGATTTGAAGATCTCTGAGCTTTAGGAGGTCTGCAAATTACCCACAAGGGCCTGGCCAGGTTTTATTTCTCCTCAGGGCGCAGACCTATTATCATCTGCCAGTTTCCAAAGCCTTCTGGTTAACCTTTATTCTAAAAACATTTCTCCAGCTGTATACTGACATTTTCATTAGGGAAGAATGAATGTTCAATATTTTTTGGATTTATGTATGAAAATTTACTCAGAAAATGTTTTACCTTCATGATTATTAAGAGTTATATTGCAAGTGAAAATCAGGCTATATCAAGCTATATAATGTAGTATGTAGCTGGGCGCCAGTGGCTCATGCCTGTAGTCCTAACTACTCAGGAAGCTGAGATCTGAGGATCATGGTTCAAAGCCAGCCCAGGCAGAGAAGTCTCCATGAGACTCTTATCTCCAGTTAACCACTCAAAACCCAGAAGTGGAGCTGTGGCTCAAAGTGGTAGAGCGGTAGCCTTGAGCAAAAGAGCTCAGGGACAAGACCCAGGTTCTGAGTTCAAGCTCTACAACCGACATATATATATATATATATATGTATATATATATATATATATATACATATATATATATATATTCATACATACATATATATACATATATATATATATAAAACTGATATATATATATATATATATATATATATATATATATATACAATGTATTTAATTTAAATGAGAATGTTGAAATTATTATTGTGAACTATTAGGTAACCCCATGATAAAAGATTTTAGTGAGTGTGTTTTGGAAGAATTAAGATTTTTGAGGAGTCTCAAATTTTATTGTTTTGCTTTCTCCCTTAACATGGTACAGCTTTACTCAAAGACACCACAATTTCTCTCCTATGGATTATTTATTTGTTTAATTTATGACACTGGAGATAGCAGCAGGACCTTGCCTGTGCTATTGAGCTACCATCCAACCTTTCCTCTTGTTTTGATGATAAAGTAAGCCATTCTAAAACTTTCAAAGACAAAAAGGTCAAGAGACTTGTCCAGGGAGCTGGAGAGCCCAAACCTCTGAGTCCTTGAGGAATGTACTAGAACATTGTCCTCCCACGTTTGGAAGTATGCTTCAGTTTGCCAGACAGCAACTTCTACAATGCAACAAGGCAAATTGTTATGGATGTAGGCAGTAAAAATCCTAGTCAAGAATTTTGTCACAAAATATTAAAAATGATGAAATACAGTAAACTTATAAGACATCCAATTTACTCAGATTTGGGACGACTCTGGGATGTGATTCTTCCTTCTTGGAGGATCAGGAAAGTGCCAAGGCCCAGAGGAAGGCCTCTCTCTCCTTTTCTCATGGCTGCTTTTGCTTATGCAGTTTCAACCTCACAAAGGTCCTGGGGCTAAGACTTACAACTAGGTGGCTTTTTAAAATAATAACAACCAGGCACTAGTGGCTCATGCCTGTAATCCTAGCTACTCAGGAGGCTGAGATCTGAGGATCACAGTTCAAAGCAGAAAATCCGTGAGACTCTTATCTCCAATAAACCACCAGAAAACTAGAAGTAGTGCTGTGGCTCAAGTGGTAGAACGCTTGCCTTGAGCTGAAGAGCTGGGGGACAGCGCCCAGGCCCAGAGTTCAAGCCCCATGACTGACAAAAAAAAAATAATGATAACAGAACCACATATTTATGAAGCATTTATGTGTGCCAGTCACTTTGCTAAATAGTTTATGTGTATTAATTGATTTCATTCTTTAGTCCCTTTCTTTTTTTAATTCAAAGCTTTGCACTTGCTAGGCAGGTACTCAACCACTTGAGCTGTGGCCTCTACCCCTATTTTTTTTCTACCCCTATTTAAAAAAATATTTTTCAAATAGTGTTTTGTGGTTTTGTTCAGAGCCAGCCACTGACCTTTACCTTCTTACTCATGCCTTTGGTGTAGCTGACATTACAAGCATGTCACCAGTTTACTCTTATTTGATTGAGATAGTCTTGCTAGCTCCTTGCTGAGGCTGTCTTTGATCATCCCAACCTCAATCTTCCAAGTAGTTGGGATTATAGATATGTGTCATCATGCCTGATCTTTATTTAAGCTTTTCAATGGATCTGTGAGTTTAATACTATTATTAGTTATACACTTGAGTCATAGAACTGGGTGCATTCTTTGCCCAAGGACATACAACTGGGAATTGGACAAGTAGCATTCAAGGTAAATCACTGTGATATTGCTTTTTAACCCATCAGCCATTTCCTGAATTAGTACTTGGGAATAGATTGATAATATTATTAAAGTTAAGAGCTGACAAGGTCCTGAAAGTTTACTTTTTATATTTTTGCTTTTTTATTGTTATTATAAAGATGATATACAGAGGGGTTACCATTTTATGTCATGTAATGAGTACATTTGTTTTTAGACAATGTTACCCCTTCTTTTGCTTTCTCCCAGCTGAGAGTTTATTTTTTCTTTGCCCCTATTCCCATCTTGTTTGGAGGGTAAGAATATTAAAGGTAAAACAAATGTGGTATGTCTAAGCAATCACAATTATTGGTGGAGGGATGCAAATTTCAAGGCTCCTGCTTGCTCAATTGGCTTGCAGAGGTAGACTTCCTGCTCCATGGGACGAGCTTTCTTTAGTCCCTATCTCCTCAGGAGGCTCCAAAGTAATAACACCGATTTGGTAAGTGACCCACAGGTTCAGTGATCAAGGCATTCCATAAGGACTAATTGAGGCAAATAGGTTTGCCACATTGAACATGGTAATGCAGTTATTCCATCAAATGGAAAATGTATACTTTTATAACATTGGTCACCTACATTATTGAATAGGAGAATGTTGATGAAAAATGAGCTTTTTAAAAGTTCACTGAAATGTTGATACCCTGGAATTTGGAAAACCATAAAACAGAGGTAGCTTTTCTTTCCTTCCTTCCTACCATCCTTTCTTTCTTTCTTTCTTTTTTTAAAAAATGCTACAAGAGCTTGAATTTAGGGCCTCATGCTCTTACTCAGCTCTTCATGGCTGGCACTCTACAACTTGAACCACACTTCCACTTTCAGCTTTTTGTTGGTTAATTGGAAATAAATAGACTTTTCTGACTGGGCTGGTTTCAAACAGTGGTTCTCAGATCTCAGCCTTTCAAGAGCTAGGATTATAGGAGTGAGCCACTAGCCCTCAGCCAGTTGTATCTCTCTAGATCATCCTTTTGAATTGAGACAATTAGTATGACTGAACTAAGGCTGGTTAAATTCCTCACTGCATTCAACAACAAACAAGGAGGATCACAATTTCTCAGAGTAGGAAGGAAGTCTCCCAGTCAATTCCCTAACTTTCTCAACATGGAGAGTGGGGTGGTTATTGTGGGAAAGGAGACAGAATTGGATTTCGAATGAAATGTTCTTTTCCCTTGTGGATACACAGGCCTTCCTATGTATTTCTTGCCTCTCCTCTCTTCTTCATTCCTTAGCTCTGCATGGAAAGCTGACAGCACCCAGTATCTTTTGAAAGCCTCAGGACTCATACCACTTAGCATAGTTTACCATGTTCCTTCTATGCTCCATTACCTTTTGTTGTACTTACAAGTTTGGTGTCCTATCATGCCATTGACTAATTGCTAGATAAGTTGTATTCTTTTGGTCCTTCTTAAATATTTCTAAAATAGTGCCTCAAAGTGCTCTCCCCTATAAAAATACTAATCAATCAAATCCTGGTAGATGCTCCCAATATGGCCTTTCAGGATTTTATATATATGTATATTTTCAATAGGAAGAGTATTCCGATAAGGCATATTCAATTTTCTGGCTTCCTTTAATGTTTTCATTCAGGATGTAAAAGTCAACAGGGAATACATGCGAGAATTGTTACAGAAAGCATTCCAATTTTCAGTGTTTAGTGGCTGAGTATGGGATGGAGAGGACTCTGACATATTACTAGCATTCTCACCAAAGAAAAGGTAAAGGAAAGAAGGCAAAGCCACGCTCATCTATCAGCATATTCAGCATACTCTGCCAGTCCAGAAAGGCCCTCTGCTGTTTGCATTCCAGCATTGTATAGTCCTTAATGAGATCAGGGTGGAAATGCTCAATCAGACTGAGTTAGAACATTGTAGCCAAACGATGGAAACTTTGGGATGGATTTTTTTTTCCCCCTGAAGTATAATGAGAATCATTCTTAAAAGTGTGTAAGCAGTTCAGAGAGGAGATCAGCAAGAACAAGAATACATACAGCATTAGAAAGAAAAGCAAAAGGGTGGCTGGGCATAGCTCAGTGATAGAGTTCCTGCTTAGAATGCATGAGGCTCTGGAATTCCATCTTCAGTAGCCCTCCTCCTCAGAAAAGAGACAAAGCAGCACAGTGAGACAATTTAACAAAGAAGAAGAACAAATGGCTGATAAACCTGAAAAAAATGCTCAAAACTTAGAAGAAATGAAATGAAAACTAAGCAAATTAATATTAAATGTCAGTTTAAGTTATTACTATTAATAAATTTAACACACAAGTTATAAAGATAACATGAAATATTAATACAGTTACTATAGGAAATACATACATACTATTATTTTATTTAATGTCTTTAAAATTTACTAATTTTATTAATTCAATAGATATAATTTAATATATGATTATTTTTATTTTTATTTCCTTTTTTATTGTCTTTAAGTAGTCGTACAAAGGAATTGTCATTTAACAAGCAGTTTATGAACACAGTGCTTTTGACTGTCACCCCTTTCAACATTCTCACTCATCCCTCCTCTACCCACCACTTTTCTTAGTTTTGTAGGGTGTATATTGAATTTGTAACTGCTTCTCCCTCTCATTGTTTGTATACCTCTCTCCCCTTGATCCTACTCCACCCTTTCAAGTACCCAATTCCTGGTGTATATTTTGTTGGGCTTTCACTTTTCCTTTCTAAGGAATTACACTATTTAAGAGCTCCCTTGAATCTACTATATTTCATTTAATACATTTGTATATACTTATATATTACCCAATGTATTTACTTACTTAAGTTTATAAGCTAAACCCAGCTTCTACACATAAGGGAAAACATGCATCCTTTGTCTCTCTTGGCCTGATTCACTTCACTTAGCATAATTTTACCAGGTCTTCTCATTTCTTTACAAATGATACAATATCATTCTTTCTAATAGATGAGTTTGTGTGTATGCAAGAAGTGAATTTTACTGGTAGAATTATGCATCTGAAGATGGATATACATCCAAACTATTTTATATTTTTGACCCAAATATCCTACTTGGAGGAGTTTTTCACAGTGAGTCCTGGCTACTCAGGAGGCTGATATCTGAGGATTGCAGTTCAAAGCCAGTACAGGCAGGAAAGTCTGTGAAGCTCTTATCTCCAATTAACCACCAGAAAACCACAAGTGGAGCTATGACTCAAAGTAGTCGAGTGTTAGCCTTGAGCAAAGAAGCTCAGGGACAGTGCTCAGGTCCCAAGTTCAAGCCCCAGGACTGACATACAAAAAAGAATTATTTTACAATGTATCAAGAAGGATGATAATCAAGTGCTGTGAGATTTACTCCCTGCCTCTCTCTCCCTCTTTGTGCTGGGGATGAACACTCAACATGGACAGCTGCAGCCCTGAGCCTGCCTAGTGTTTTCCTGTCTAGTGTTTTCCTGTATGTATCTGCACATTTCTCTTTCAGGCACACATGGGAAATAAATTACAAGGGAGGTGAAGTAATATCCTGAATTCTATGGAACACAAATCTATTTAGAGAACTAGTTTATGAATTTGTTTTGTAACCTGCCTGAAGAGAAAACCCTCCTTCGCTGCTACTTGGTGAAGGAGGATGGAAAATCAGACTTTTTTTTTCAGTTCAATAAATTTCTCTCTCTCCTCCTAGCTTAAAACACAGCCATATTCCCATTGCTTTCCTTCCTGTGGGAGTTACCATCCTGCTTGGTTCTCTTCTCATTTTCTAGATAGGAAACTTGGAGTTCACATTCAACATCTCCACCTTTATTTCCTCTTACATCAAATTAGTCAACAAGGACTCATATCTTTCCTGCTCCACTTCATCCTCAATGACCTCTTTAAGACAATGAGAACTAGTCCCACAATCTTGTCCCACCTGCACACTGCTTTCTATAAGATCTTCCAGAAACCCAGGCCTCATTTTCCCTACCCCAGCTTCACCCTTTGCGTGCCATAGAGCTATTCCAGTGGGGGACCCTTCCCACTTTTCCTCATTCAAAACTGCATATATATATGCATATATATACATATATATGCTAACACTCTATCACTTGAGCTACACTCTATTTCCAGCCTTTTTTTTTTTTTTTTTTTGGTGCTTAATTGGAGATCAAAGTCTCACGGATTTATTTTTGTCTAGGTGGCTTTGAACTGTGATCCTCAGATCTCAGCCTCTTGAGTAGCTAAGATTACAGATGTGAGCCAACCAGCACCCTGCAAAAAGTGCCTTACAAAGGGTTTAGGAGGGAAAAAAATTCTTATCACCTGCATAACGTATTCTCTAAAAAATTAGCATTTTTCAATTGATATTTTCTATTTTTTTTCTGCTGAGTTAATTTAGTTTAGTTAATCATAGATGCCTGGTTAATAAAGATTGGTTATAAAATCATTGTTGATGCTTTTAGCTTGATCACGGAACTTTACAAGCATGAGGTAGGCTGTTAGGGAAGGGTGGAAGAAAGGATTGTATATGAAGAGAAGAAGAGGAGGGGGTAGAATGCAATAAAAATTTAATGTCTATCCTACAAAATTAAGAAGAGTGAGGAATGGGTGGGTAGGGGAGGGACAGATGAGAATGTTGAAAGGGATGACATTAATCAAGATGAATTGTATTCATAAACTGCTTTGTTAGAGGGTAACTCCTTTGTACAACTACTTAAAGGTAAGGAAAGATATTTTCAAATAATGACAGGTTGTACGAAAAAGGGGCTTTGGTACCAAAAATGCTAGAAACCATTGGCCCACAGGTTAGTGTCTCAATTCCTTGGCCTGGCTTTCAAGGTCCTCGGTCATACCTCCATAGCTATCCAGTGCTCTGTATACCAACTTCTTATCATGTCTTTCCATACTTTTGTACCTTTGCTTAAGCCACTTCTGCCTGATCTCTAACCCCTCTCATGAAATTGTTTCTCTTTTACGGTCTTGCTCAGAATTCCTCCCCTAAAGAAAAATCCTTTCCTGACCCATTTGGAATTAATGTCCCTTCCCTGGGGATCCTGGAGGTCCTTTGCCCTGACCTGCATCAGACCAACCCTTTTCTCTTTATTTGCAACATGGCTTCCTCCTTCTGACGCACTACAGGTCAGTGACCACAATTATAGTGAGCATCATCACAGCATATTCTTGGTCTGGCTTTGGTAAAAGCTCAGTGACTGTATGTTGAGAAGGTTTTGCAGAGTTTGGTGGCATCCTTGGGTGACAGCCATGTGTATTGCAATCTACTAACCTCTGATTTCCCTCTGATCAACATCACACAGCAGAAAACTTGTTCTGAGACTTTGGAGTTTGGATAAAACTGTTCTAGGTTTGCAAGAAAAACTGAGACTCTTATCTCCAATTATTTACAAAAAAAAAAAAAAAAAGGTCAGAAGTGGAGCGGTGGCTCAAGTGGTAAAGCATTAACCTTGAGCAAAAGAGCTCAGGGACAGTGTCCAGGCTCTGGGTTCAAGCCCCAGGCCTGGTACACACACACACACACACACACACACACACACACACACAACACACTCACACACAAACTGTCCTAGTTTGTATCCCAGACCTGCCACCTGCCCTTGGGCAAATCCTTTCCTCTTGCTAAAGCAAGAGGTACAAATTACTAGCACCAAGGATGACTACAGAGGTTGTCAAACAGTAGGATTTCTAGAAATTTTAACCTCTTCCCCACCTCACCATGAAGAGTAAACTTGAAAAACAGCCCCAGACTACTCTATTCATAAAAAAAGAAAACTTTCAAGTTTTCATTTCAGATGGAACTTTGAATTTAGCATTTAGGGCTAGAAGTTGAAATCAGCCCTTGTTCAACTACCCATTGCAATGTCAAACCATCACTGCCATTAACTGGTTTTGTTTTCTCTCCCACCCAAGCAATTACATTCCATTGCATTTTCAACAAATTCCTGGACATCTTCACATGAAAGGTACAGAATTTTGCCCCTTAGCATTGTTTGATGGAGATTCTGACCTTATTTCTTCTTTAAAGAACTTCTTGCAAATAGATGTCCCGATGCAGGCATTGCATTTTATCAAGACCGAGGAAAGTCCTTCCCAAATTGTAGCTGGTTCTGACTCGGGATACCAGAGAAGGAGGGGAAGATGCTGGCGAGGAAAAACAGCTCAAGACTGACACCACCAACAGCAGCAGAGCTTGCCAACCTGGATGGAGAGCAGCCGCCTCAGGCCCCAGCTGTGGGTCCATCCTGGGCTCTGTGCTGTGGCTATGGCCTCCAGCTGCGGCCTCCAGCTGCGGCCTCCAGCTGCTCACTCAGGGCTACACAAGGGGCAGGGTTTGGCAGGAGAGGAAATCTGTCAGAGGCAGTTGGTTTCAGGCCTCTGAGCCCATCCCACCCTCCCAGGTTTCTATCTGAGGATGCTGAGGACCTTAGGGCTAATGAGGCTGGACGGGAGGTAAGGAAGTCCATGGAGGATGCTGATAAAGACCTTCCCAGAGTCCCTCTTCCTTTGCCTGGGGTGGCTGCCACAACCTGGGGAGGGGCTCAATGGCAGATTTCGGGAAGGACAATGGCCACAGCTTCCCAGAGTGGTTCTTTCAACAAACACAGGATATCCCAGCTGCACAGGAAAGGTTTATGCAGGATGTGTGTCTGACCTAGGTTCCACCTGGGAGTTTCAAAGAATCCTGAAGGCCTCTGCCCTCTTCTGTTTTCATTCTGTGAATATTTGCCCCTTTGGAACTCTCTCTCTCTCCCCCCCCCCCCCCCCCCCCCCCCCCCCCCCCCCCCCCCCCCCCCCCCCCCCCCCCCCCGCAGGCTGGATAATCTGCCCTGTCACTTAACCAACCATACCTCCCCCACTTTTATGCTTCAATATAACTAGAGATTAGTGTGCTGGCCATTAAGTGGCACATTTAACACTGATTGGAAAGGTCAAGGCTTTTTTCTGCAGCTTAGGTAGTCAAAAACTCCATGTTAGTCCATTTGCTCTGAGAAAAAGAGAAGGGGAAAATTTAGTGGCCTCTATGACTTGATGAGGGGAACAGAAAGAGCCCCTGCCCATATCCAGCAGTGTCTGTCCTTTTCAAAACCTCAAGCCTAAAAGCCCTATTTTTACAATTTAGGCGGGGAGGGAGGGAGGAGGGGTAGAGGGCCGGGAACGTAGTTGAGGACGTGTGGAGGAAAGGGAGGGTAGGGGAAAAACAGAGGAGGTAACAGTGCTTGCTAGGAAATGTACTCATTACCTTGCTTATATAACTGTAACCCTCTGTACAGTATTTTCACAATAAAAACTGTATTTTTAAAAAAAGCTCTATATTTTTTTTAACCATTCTTCTTCAGGTCTCAGCTGTAGGCTTTAACTGTCCCCCAGTTTCAGGCCTCTCAATACCAACTAAGGCTCACAGCATGGACTAGATGGGAGTGCTGATTTGGGAAAAGTTTGTGAGGACCAAATCAGGAAAGGCAGTGAGAGTGCCTGACTTCCTACAGAGGTTGAGAGTCATTTGCCAGCAGCTGGCCAGATTGAGAATATGAGAGCGTCCAGGAAGACTGGGTGGAGAAATATCTGGATTGAGTTGTTTTTAAAATTATTGAATATCTATCTATCTATCTATCTATCTATCATTTGTCTCCCTGTTTACTATCTATCATCTATTATCTATGCATTATAGTGAATCTATTTATCTATTTGCTTATTACCTACCATTTATCTCTGTCTGCCATCGAATCACCTATCTATTATCTATCATCTATCATCTATTGTCTATGTGTTATCTATCACCTATCTCTGTCATGTATCATCTATCTTTTGGTGTATTATCTATTCATCTACCTATTATCTATCTATCATTCATTTATCCTTTTGAGATCCTAGGCCTTTGTGGCATATGTGGTGCTATGGTTTGGATCTGGAATGTTGTCTAAAGGCTCCTGTGTTAAGGGTCTGGCATCCAACCTATGGCACTGTTGGAATATGGTAGAAACTTTAAGAGGTGAAGCCTAGTGGGAAGTCTTCAGGTCATTAGGGACACTCCCTTGAAGAGGATTGTGAGGCCATGGGACTCATACTTTCCCAGTCCCTCTATGAGGTTTTCTTCTACTACATGCTTCTTGCCATGATGTAACGCTTTACCACAATCTGCATTAGGCCAACTGACCAGGAACTGAAATCTACAAAATTGTGAACCAGGTTAGACCTTTTCTCTTTATTAATTGAATTTTCTCAGGCATTTGTTACAGTAATGAAAAAGCTAGCATATGATTTATAAATGCTTTCTGCCAGGCTATATATAAATGTCTTTTATCTGCTTACCAGAGTCTTTTACAAAGCAAAAAATTATGAATTTGTTAAATTCTGGTTTGTCAGTTATCCTGATCTATGGATATCCATGAGCAGAAGAATGAAATTAGATTCTCACACCATAGGTAAGATTCCACTCAAAATGGACTAAAGCCTTAAATGTTAACACATGAGACTGTAAAACCATTAGAAGGAAACACAAGAAATGTTGCACAGTATTGGTCTAAGGCAATGATTTTTTGTATATGATTCCCAAAAGCATAGGTAACAAAAAAACATAGATAAACAGAAACAATGGTTTGGCACTGAACTAAAAAATCTTAAAAAAATTTTATTGGAATTAACTCCAAATGGATCAAAGACCTCGGAGTTAAAGCAGACACTCTGAAAACATTACAAGATGGAATAGGAGAAACCGTAGGGCTCCTTGGCACAGGCCGAAATTTTCTTAATAGAGACCCAGAAACACAACAAATCAAAGAAAGTTTGGACAAATGAGATTGCATGAAATTGCAGAGCTTCTGCATGGCAAAGGACATAGCTAGCAAGATCAATAGAAAGCCCACGGATTGGGAGAAGATCTTCACTAGCCATATAATGGACAAGGGTCTCACATCTAAAATATACTTAGAACTCAAAAAATTAAATCCCCCAGGAGCTGGGAAGGTGGCTCAGTGGTAGCGCGCTTGCCTTGCATGCCTGAGGCCTTGGGTTCGATTCCTCAGCACCACATAAGCAAAAAGAAAAAAAGCTGGAAGTGGCACTATGGCTCAAGTGGTAGAGCGCTAGCCTTGAGCTGAAGAGCTGAGGGACAGTGCCCAGGCCCAGAGTTCAGGCCCCACGACTGGACCCCCCCAAAAAATTAAATCCCCCAACAACAAATCCTCAAAGAAACAACTGTCCGATAAATAAGTGGGCTAAAGACTTAAAGAGAAACTTCTCTGAAGAGGAAAGAAGAATGGCCAATAGACACATGAAGAAATGCTCAACCTCCCTAGCCATAAAAGAAATATAAATCAGAACAACACTGAGATACTACCTCACTCCAGTTAGAATGGCTATAATCAAGAATTCTAATAACAACAGATGCTGGAGGGGATGTGGACAGAAGGGAACCCTACAGCATTGTTGGTGGGAGTGTAAACTTGTTCAGCCACTTTGGAAAGTAGTATGGAGGTTCCTCAAAAGACTCCACATAGAGCTTCCCTATGACCCAGCAATCCCACTTTTGGGCATTTACCCAAATGATCACAAACAAGGCCATACTAAAGCTACCAGCACAACTATGTTTATTGCAGCATTATTTACCATAGGTAAGATATGGAAGCAACCCAGATGCTGCTCAGTAGATGAATGGATCAAGAAAATGTGGTATATACACAATGGAATTCTATGCCTCCATCAGAAAGAATGACAGTGTAACCCCTGTTTTTATTATATTTGATGTCAGTATACTTTGTGGAGGGGAAAGGAAAAAACAAATGGTTTAAATAGGGATACAAGTGGACCCACTGCAGCAATGAGATGTACAAGACGTTATGTAAAAATCGAACTTTACAACTTTGGCACAGGGTCGGGGGGGGAGGAGGATGGGGGTAGATAGGTAAGGGGAAACAAAGGAGGAGGCAACAATGCTTGATAAGAAATGTATTCATTACCTTGCCCATGTAATTGTAACTCCTCTGTATGGTGTTTTCACAATTAAAAAAAGTGGTAAATGAAAAAACATTTATTGTAAAGGTGATGTACGGATGGTTACAGTTACATAAATCAGGTAATGAGTACATTTCTTTTTGAACAGTGTCACCTCTTCCCTCATTTACTCCAAGTTTTTCCCTCCTGACCCTTCTCTCCCAAAAGTTGTTTAGTTTATTTTCAACATAGTGTCTAGTGAGTATCACTGCTGCATTTAAAACAAAAAATCTTTTTACTGCAAAGGAAACAAACAGCAGAGTATAGAGACAATTCACTTATTGGGAATAAATACTTCAAAACCATGTATCTCATAAAGGCCAATACCCAAAGTATTAGAAGGAACTCCAATAACTTCATAGTGGGAAAAGCAGCTTAGATATCTAGTGTCTCAATTTCATGTAATAAGGTTGCTCTCCTCCCATTTTGTGTTCTTGCTAGTCTTGTCAAAAGTCAATTGGCTATAAATGCACAGATTTGTTTCAGGGCTTGTCATTCTGTTCCTTTGTCAGTTTTTATGCCAATGGGGTTGATGCCTATATATACAGGAGCCAGCCTGAAAGGTGGGTTTTTGAGTGAGTGCTGACCTTTTTGGCCATAAGCTTCTGCAGTTGACTCAGTATTGGAATGGCTCTGAAGCTTGTTGGGGCTAACTAGATGTGTGTGTGTGTGTGTGTGTGTGTGTGTGTGTGTGTGTGTGTGTGTGTGTGTGTGTGTGTGTGTGTGTGTGTGTGTTCTAAAGCCTTAGCCTGGGTTGAACCTGAAACCTTGAGGCTGCTGGTGTCAGTCCTGGTGGTGATGGGGAAGATCCAAAGGGAGGCCTGGAGCTGGAGCTATGAGAGCTGATCTGGAATTGGGGCTGCTCATTCAATGGGTACCAGCATGGAGTTGGAGGCTCTGGAGGCCTACTGGCATTAGGTTTTACAAGGGGCCCAGTGCTGGATTCTAAGGCAAGTCTATGCCCCACTTCCCTTTTTTCCTCCAAGTGGAAGGGATGTTTCTCTGCCATGCCTCTCTGACCATGTGATCGTAGATGCTGAATAACAAGAATTCTTATTATTATTGGGCAGTGGTGAAAAAGCTGATTCTTCATTAGGCTTCCTCTAACACAAACAGAAAGACAGGAAGACAGAATGGGCACCATTACCCATTGGAGACAGGTGGAGTTCAGGTTCCCCACATAAGTTCCCTGGTAGTGAAGGGAGGGTGGGCAAGCATTATTGCATGGGTGGATAAAAGTCTTAGCTCCCCACTTGGCCTTTTCTGACACTGCTTCAGTAGAGGAAGCATTGGGCTGTTCT